GACAACCTGTTAACTTCGGAAAGTATAATGTTATCGTTTATATTTCAGGACATTGCCATCATCAATGAGGATAATCTGCCAATGTTTAATCGTTGTGGTGTCATGGCATTGGTTGCAGCATATCTAAACTTTCTCAGTCAGATGATTGCAGTTCCTGCCTTTTGTCAGCATGTCAGCAAGGTAACACATAATTAAGTAATTTAAGTAATTTAGAACAGTAGACATTCTATTGTAAAACGGGTAAATAACTTCTGTCAAGTAATTGCTTGTGGTGTTCCTCTACTGTATTTGTGTCCACCAACATCGCTCTTTGTCTTTGGTCTCCAATGGCATTTCTTGCTGACTCTTAAAATTATGCACAGAATATTCTTCTCTCAAGGTATAGCATTTTTGTTTTGCTTGTGGTACCATATATAACGGGCTAAATCCGCATGTGGTATAAGACTTTACAGCCTCATTGGCTTTGGTAAAACAGTACTGACATGCACAAGACCATGAGAAACAGATTTTTCGTCTAAAGGGTGAGTGCCACAATCTCTTTCTCTGGTTAAAAGACATTTTAAAGGTCTCATTTGTGCTGAGGTAGATGTTAGTGAAGGATTGGTGATGTGCTACAGTAGAACTGCTTTAAGCAACTTAGTCATTGGAGAAAATAGCTATGGAACTACTCTGTTTGTACTGTTTGTCTTGGGTTTTTTTCAGGTCATCGAAACTAGAAGTCTGGAAGCATCTTATTTTCTACCAGAAACAATTTTCAAAGACAAATGCAAGTAAGTAGATATAGAATGCGAACTAAGGAAGAGTGAAGTACCTATTTTACTATCACACGTCATTGAAATATGTTGCATATGTGAAAAATAGTTTAGAGGTTTAATAGTGTACAGGATAGGCAGAAGAAAACCAAGCATTAAAAGCATATATGCATATATGAAAAAAATCTGGTTTTCAGACTTTTTTTTTAATTGTAGTCATAGGCACTTACATCTGCACAATGCGATGCTTGGTGTAAGTGCTAACACAGCAAAATGCATTTTCACTGCATCACAGAACAGGTGAGGTTGGAAGGGACCTCTGGAGGTCATCTGGTCCAACCCCCCTACTCAAGCAGGGTCACTTAGCGCAGGCTGTCCAGGACCACATCCAGATGGCTTTGGAATATCTCCAAGGATGGAGACTCCACAGTCTCTCTGGGCAACCTGTGCCACTGCCTGGTCACCCTCACAGTAAAGAAGTGTTTCCTGATGTTCAAACAGAACCTTTGTGTTTGTTTGTGCCTATTGTTTCTGCTCCTGTCAGTGGGCACCACTGAAAAGAGCCTAGCTCTGTTGTCTTTCCACCATCTCTCCCTTAAGGTAGTTGTACACATTGATAAGATCCACCTTCTTTTCTCCATGCTGAACTGTCCCAGCTCTCTCTGTCTTTCTTCATTGGAGAGATGTTCCAGTCCCTTAATCCACCTTAGTGACCCTTTTGTTGGAATCTCTAAAGTCCATGTCTCTCCTGTCCTGGAGAGCCCAGCACTTGACACAGTGCTTACCAGTGCTGAGTAGAGGGAAAGGATGTCCTCCCTTGACCTGCTGGCAGTACTTCTCCTAATGCAGCCCAAGATACCCTTAGCCTTTTTTGCCACAAGGGCACATTGCTGGCAAATGGCAAATACTATTACTCTGCAGTTTTTCCTAATTAACAAATACCATATTCTCGCAAGATGTAGCAGAATAGGTGAGGAACATATTGCAGATAACCAAGTGTTAAGGTAATTTAAAATATTGCCGAGGTATTCAGTGGACTAATTCTGGGGTGTATATTCATTCCTAAAAAACTGAGCAAGTTTTATTTCCATCAAATCATTAGCATTGATCATACCAGCTTTTTGGTTGCTTGCAGACATTGGAAAAATATTTTACTTAATGAACAAATCTCTATTGGTAGACAATAACTTCACATATATATTTTTACAGTCTTCCAAAATCCTTAGAGAAGCATGAAAAAAATTTATTTTTCCTGACGAACAAGATTGCAGAATCATTAGGAGGCAGTGGATACAGCGTGGAAAGATTGTCAGTTCCGTATGTACCCCAGGTAACAGGTAAGTGGTGATTAGTGACAAAACTGCTAAGTACCAGTTAAGAATGCTTTCTTAATGTGTTGTGTGCCAATGAAATGTAATGTGACTGCTTGTCAAGAAAACTTAATCATAGTATAATTTTGTTTTCTCAAGATGTTTGTGGTTTTTTCACATTAGCTACAGTATTATTGCTAAGAAGTTTCAACTTTGTTTCCTTTTAAGATTTATTTTTCCTTAAATTCAGGATGTGGGGCAGAAAATTCTTGAACACGCTTCAGCTTTTTTTAATGAAGTCTTTGCTTATGAAAGAATACCTATGAAGATAGTAGTGATTATTACTGGTTTTCTGTATTAATTTGAGTTAGCAGGAGAGGAAGGATTATACAAGTCAGCATACTTCATCCTTTTTATATAAACACTAGATGAAACATATCCCATCTTTTTGCCATCTGGCCTTATGCTGACTTGAGTTATTGGCCTTAGCCAAATTCTCAATGATCAGATGTTAATTTAATCAAAAGTGTTATGTTTTCCTCTATTACATGCCTATGCTAGCTTAATGTCAGGTAACACAATGAAAATAAAGTATGCCTGAGGCAGATTTGTGAGAGTCCATGCTACCCAGGATGCCTGAATAGTGAGTGAATGACTAGCTTAGTATGTGACACAGTGTTTTCTGCTTTTAATATATTTTCAACAGCCAATTGAGCAACTCACTGAAGAAAATTGTTTGAAGCATTTGTTTTACTAACTGTGTGTGTTTTGTGGCTGTACATAACTGGTTATTATTGTAATAGACTATGGGACATCCCAGTCTGAATCATGACATTTTTGAGAAATAAAAGTTCCTAGCAGGAAAATTATTCCTATATTTTGTAGCTTATGCACAGAAGGAAACATAGTACATATGGACAGTGAATGCCAGATCTGTCACACTTGGCAGCATGATTCTGAGACATTGCTGCCCGCTGTTGAATAAGATTTTTTGGATAGCTGCTATGGGAGGGAATGAGTTCTCCAGAACAACAGATGTGGTTTTGTCCCATGTGCTAGCAGGCAAACTAGTGATATATTCTGAGACACAGCTGCAATGTCTGTGTTTTCTGTTGCTCGTTGTCATCTTCTGAAAAGGACAATGTTGCTATACTTGACAGATTATTTCTCTGGCATCCAAAAAACAGTTAACTTTTTTATATTTTAGTATTGGCGGAAGAGTTAAGTAGCAAGTAAGGAAATGTTACTTTTTCAATTTTTACTGTCTTTGAGTGAGCGAATGAGAATGGAATAAAAAAGATAGCCTGGTTGGAAACTTACGTTAAGCCTCTTCTAGAAAATGAGAGGTATTTATATCCAAATGACCATGCCAGGTTTTTCTTGGGTACTTTCATAAAAATGCATTCCTACACAGGAAGATATGTAAGTTCTGACAAGGTTAAGCGAGTTTAGCTGCAAGTACGTGCTTAATTGCCTCTTCAAGTGATGAGAAATGGCCATATTTAATGCTAAATCTTAAGAGTATGTGAATCAGATGGGTGGGGTTTTTTTGTGTTGTAGTCTTTTGCAAAAACCAGTAACCAAAACTGGTTTCATGTCTGTTACCGTATCTGATTAGGATCATTAATCTCTGATCCTCTGACATTGAGCTTCCAAGATTTTCATTTAATTAAATCAGGACCAAAGTGACTATTTTGGAATTCTAAAACTTTTCATTTTGACTTAAATGTTTAATTTCTACTATTATATTGTGCTAGAATAGTGTTTCAAAATATATCAATAATTATAGTAAAAGATGGACACTTTTTTTTATATATTCCTGTGAAAGCTGTGATTGAACCCAAAAAGCCAGTAAAGATTTCATCCTAATTGTATCTAGTGTTTCTGCATATTAGTGATGTAATGCTTAACAATTACTTATAGACATAGAATATTTATCCTGTTTCTCCTCCAGTTTTTGGTACTTCTTACCAGTTTGAAAGCCATTCATACTTGCAACATTTTGTACCTTGTACTCTTCCTTATTTGGGGGAGGGGGGAAGCTGATACTTAAATGTACATTTAATAACTTTTTTCTGTACATATATAATTTTTTTTTAATTTAGCCCTATTTCCGTCAGGTAAAAAACCTCATAAATGCAGACACAAGTCAAAAGGTAACAATGAGTTGTAGGTCAGCCTGCTCTCCTGGTAGCTGTAGTGTGTCTGTATAGGATGTGCACAGTCCAAAAAAAAAACGCTTTTAGAAGGCCTTTAGACCTTTAGGCCAGAAATTGTGTTGTATTTAGTGTATTAGTGTTTCCTTTCGGGTTTTTTTGTTTGTTTATCTCCTTGACATACCTGTAGAAATGTTAGCTGCTGCAAGGTTTCTCTTTGTGCTTGTTCTTGATTTGGAACTCTACAACATGGTAGCTTCCTATTTTCTTTTCCTGAGCAGGTAGTAGAGCTATGGGTATCATTTTTGTGATAGTACTAATTATGTCTTTGAGTGAAATTACAGGAACTTGGTAGGAAGTTGGAAGAAGCTCTCAGCTGTTCATGGAATGATGATTCATCTTACTTACTGGCTGTTCAGGATAAAGGCTCATTAGTGGGACATGTATATGTGCATAAGTTCTGTGTGCATCTGACTGGTAGCTGGGCTTAGACACTATCTACCCACAAGCTGTCTTCTGGTTCCCAGCCTTCCCAGTCACTGGCATCTGAGCATGTGAGTCCCCAAGGCCCACAGCCCCAATCCAGCTGCTGGTACAGATACCCCTTGTGCACAGTTGTGCTGGTTTTGACTGGGATAGAATTAATTTTTTCCATAGCAGCTTGTATGGGACTATGTTTTCACTTTGTGCTGAAAACAGCATTGATAATACAGGGAAATTTTCGTTATTACTGAGCAGTGCTTACACAGTGTCAAGGCCTTTTCTGCTTCTCACCCCACCCCACCAGCGAGTAGGCTGGGGGTGCACAAGAAGTTGGGAGATGACACAGCTGCCAAAAGGACTGTCGTTTAACCCCAGCCGGCAACGAAGCACTGCGCAGCCGCTTGCTCACTCCCCACCAGTGTGATGAGGACGAGAATGAGAAGGGTGAAAGTGAGAAAACTCATGGCTTGAGATAAAAACAGTTTAATAGGTAAAGCAAAAGCTGCTCATGCAAGCAAAGCAAAACAAGGAATTCATTCACCAGTTCCCATGGGCAAGCAGGCGTTCAGCCATCTCCAGGAAAGCAGGGCTCCATCACACTTAACAGTTACTTGGGAAGACAAATGCCATCATTCTGAATGTTCCATGAGCATGATGCCATATGGTCTGGAATATCCCTTTGGTCAGTTGGGGTCAGCTGTCCCAGCTGTGTCCCCTCCCAGCTTCTTGTGTACCCCCAGCCTACTCGCTGTTGGGCCTGTGTGAGAAGCAGAAAAGGCCTTGACTCTGTGTAAGCACTGCTCAGCACTAATGAAAATGTCCATGTGTTATGAACACTGTTTTGGTCACAAATCCAAAACATAGTCCCAGAGTAGCTACTGTGACGAAAATTAACTCTATCCCAGCCAAAACCAGAACATTCTCCACCTCTTATTCCATACCATTTATATCATGCTCCGGTCCCCCGCTATCCAATACATCCTCATTAACCCCCACTCCCCTTGCCATCCTTTGATATAATACACGGATGTCATTCCCTTATTCTGTGGACCACCCCTGTGGAATGCCCATAAAATGTCCACAAATGTCCATTGAGTTCATTTAGTCCACAACTTTGGGCTCCATCTGTTATGGTGGTCAGTCAGGACAGGAGAGGCGGTGTGTTGTGTGGAGTTATTGGGCACCAAAGCCAGGTCAGGTCCAGTCACTGCTGCACTTGCACTGCTTCTTGTAAGGCTTGTCCTCCGTGGTTCAGGTAGTTCCTGCTATAGTAGCTCCTATAACCTGCAACTCAAATCATGGGTTACAACAATTTAAAGGTATTTCTATTACAGTCTCCACCCCTCATCCCTTTGGGGCCAGACTATAGGGTTTAATATTGCAAAGAACTCCTCCCCTTGCCCCTGCTCCAGCGTGGACTTATCCACAGACTTCAGTCCCTTAGGGGTGTACCTGCTCCATGTGGTGCCTTATCTATGAGCCACAGTCTCTCCAGGGGTATACCTGCTGCAGCACAGACATAACCACAGCCACAGATGCTTCGAGATGTACCTGCTCTGGTGTGGACTTATCCACAGCCACAGCTGCTTTGGGGTATCCTGCTCCCATGTGGATTGATCCAGATGTCACAGTCCCTTCAACTCGAGTTCACGCTGGAGTTCCAGCCTGTCCCATACAGCAGCACAGAAACAGCACCAATGCCCTGGCTATCTGCCAGCCCAGGAGCATCACCATTGCTGTTATCAAAATTTTCCCAGGCACAGCAGAGTAAGATGACAAGCAGTACAGCAAGCAGTAAAAGCAAAAAGCAGCCACTAATGAGCACGAGACTCTAGTATACAGCAAAGCAAGCCCACCGCATGGCAAGCACAGGACCCTGTCAATTAATAGCTAAACACCAATAACAGCTATAAATTCAATCTGCCACATTCCAATCAAATGTGTTGTTATCTCAAACCCTTCGAGCCCCACGTTGGGCACCAAAAAGGGCTGTCTTCGTTTAACCCCAGCTGGTAACTAAGCACCACACAGCCACTCGCTCTTTCTTCCCCTCAGCAGGATGGGGGAAGAGAAGTGGAAGGGTAAAAGTGAGAAAACATGGGTCGAGATAAGAACAGTGTAAGAATTGAAATAAAATAATACTAATAATGGCAATAGTAATATTAAATTGTAATGAAAAGGAAGATAACACAGAGAGAAATAAAACCCAAGAAAGACAAGTGATGCAAATGAAAACAGTTGCTTACCACCAACCTACCCATTCTCAGCCATTCCCCGAGCAGTGGCCCCCCCACCAACCTCCCTCCTAGTTTTATTGCTGAGCATGACGTCATATGGTCTGGAATATCCCTTGGGTCAGTTGGGATCAGCTGTCCCAGCTGTGTCCCCTCCCAACTTCTTGTGCACTCCCAGCCTACTCAGTGGCAGGGCAGTGTGAGGAGCAGAAAAGGCCTTGACACTGTGTAAGCACTGCTCAGCAACAACTAGAACATCCCTGTATTATCAACGCCATTTCTAGCACAAATCCAAAACATAGCCCCACACAAGCTACTGTGAAGAAAATTAACTCTCTTCCAGCCAAAAACAGCCCAACAGTAATGCACACGTGTGTGTACACATGGGTCTCAGTTAACCCCTCAGGCTCCATGGTCTTTCTGACAGTTGTACTGGCCTCCTGGTCCTTCCAGGTGCCTCCCCTTCAGAGACACATGGAAAGCCAGACACACGGACACCCCCCGTTCCCAGGTCACTTGACTTACTCGCCTGCTGGTCCAGCTTGATATTGCCTCGTGATCACGTGTGGATGCTGTGCACCTTTGCTCACTTCAGACACACAGGCCTTCTGACCTGTGGTCTGACTCCACTTGCTGTGCTCAGACCCCCATGCACACACCTGCACAAAGGAGTCCCTCACCCAGGAAAAGAGAAATGGAATTTAATTAGAAGATGGGACAGGCTACACCGATGAGGCTCAGGGCATAGCCAGATGCATGTACTGATCAGCCAGATGCATGTACAAGGGACTGATACCTTTATCCCCTTATTCCTCTGCTTTTGTGGCTTGCTCCTTCTCAAGCATCTCAAACCATCTCAATCCTCCTTTTCCCCACCCTTGCTCCTCCCCTAAGCATTCCATAGTAAGCCTCGTGCAATCCCTTGATGCTGTTCCCCTGCATCCCAGAATGTGTCCCGTACCCCAGTCACTGATGCCACCTCTGTCAGTGAGGTGACCCAGAGAGCTGCTCCTATTGCCCCATGGGCTGGATGCCACCGCTGGACCATGGGGCCAAGGCTCCTGGGACAGCCCTGGCAGGGATGGGGGCAGAGGGTATTGGGGCTCCACCACTGCCCTCGTGCCTCTGGGCTCCTTTGTGCGTGTGGAGACGAGCTTTAGAGCATATAACAGAAAAAGAAATCGCAATTTTCACGATTTTTTTACCCACTGAATACTTTGAAATTAGAGATAAATGGGCATTTTTATTAGGCAAGTATAGTGAGGCACCCATTACAAAAATGAATTTTTTCCAAAGTAGTCCCAGAAATGTATCTTCTGGTGGTTGCATGTCAATTTTAGAGAGAGCAGCAAGATGGCAGCAAAGATGTAGTTTTGTCTTGTGTTTACTCTTGAGGGCTAAAGTGATTTCCTCAGACTCTGTATGTATTGGGTTGTGTACCAGTGAGCCAGGGATTAAAAGTTAAGTAAATCATTCAAAATGCCACTTCAAATGCTCAGGGTCTCTGAGAACCTGGCAAAGATAGCTAGAATTCAGGTGGTTTTCACTAATCTTGTTCTTTCACTGCCTCTTGATCTTAAAATGGCATTTCATTTATAAGACTTCTGAAAGTTATTTGTTCATTTTTAAAAGCTAAGTATGTTCAGCTCTGCTGGAATGAATTGTCTTTGTTCATGCTCAATATTTGCACTGCAAAATCGCATTGCTAGAAGTGGTTTAAACAAAGGTTCTAAAGAACCAGCATAAATTACCTTGTGATGCAGGAGTTTTACAGTCGTTCTCTTTATCTTAGTATCAAGTGCCTGTGGGTGCTTCTAACTATGTGCAGTGCAAGTTATCAAGTAATAATGGCCAGGTCCAAATGGCTTGATCTTGGCTAAAATCGAAAATGTGACATTGCAATGCATGGTTTTGTAAATGAGATACATGGAAGTCAGGCCACTCGAGTCTCCATTTGTTAGAGGAACCTCATGACACCTCTGTAAATGTATTTTTACTGGTTTTTTAAATCTTATGTTAATATATTAAATGTCAAAATGAGGAAAGATTATTGGTGTGTTGTATCAGGAACGCAGTCACAAAAGGAAAATCCATTGACTAATGGATCATTTGATCATTTGATCATAATCTGCTTAAGCATTAATGAAATTGTTGTGCTCCTTTTAGTATCAGCACAGTTGGTGTTATTCTGATGACTTTTTAGGCCAGCTGGACTTGCTAAAATGTTGTAGGAAGTCAGAAACGGAGAGAATTTTTTTCACCAAGTAGATTTTTAGACTTACTGAATATGGTACTTGTAGCAACAAGAATAAGGAAGGATTGTTCATTTCCATTCAGAAATCTTTATTTTTTCTGTCAATGAGTCATCTTCTAAGAAGCCCTTTCCTGTTTCAGAATACCTTCAGTCTGAGACCTTAATATTTCAGTTTCACAAACAAAAAAATAAGTTCAGGCTTTTGTAAATTACTCTGCAGCAATATATCATCATGTGCTATGTTATTTATTATGCATTTGAATAAGATCTCATCTCATTTTTTTTAAATTCTGGGCTTTCAAGGGAAAGTTGGTAAGATCTGGGATAAGAGGGGGAAAGGGACAATAAAGAGGTCATTTTCCTTCATATTTAATAATTTAGAGTAGTAATTGATTGTTTTTCATAACAATCCAAATGATAAAATAGATGATCTTGGGTTAAATATGCATATAGAAACAAATCTGCACCTGATGTGTAGAAATTTGATTGATAATGTTTCAACTGTTACATAGAAAGTGAGATAAGTTGTTTTTCTTCTAGATGAGGACAGACTCTCCAGGAGGAAGAGCATTGTGGACACAGTATCTATTCAGGTGGATATTCTGCCTGGCAACAACACAGAGGATAAGGTATGAAAATAACAGGATATTTTAAAGCAGCATCTTGGGGGGGGGGGAATGCAAATGAAGTTGTCCCAGAAAGTCTAATGTCTAGTTGTTCTAGTAATGTTAAATGCTTTAGTGTTTTGGTTTTTTTAACTCCTGTGTTTGCAGAAATGTGTTGTCAAAGATACTGATACTGATCTCACTGTATAAAAAATATGAAGTATTTTGTCACTATAGTTTTTACAGATAGTACTACAGAATATAGGGTAGCAATACATATATGTGCCAAACAACTAATATTTTATGAGTAAATATTCTAAAATATTTTCTTTGCATTTTGAGGGATCAGATAAATTCCTGCGTCTGTATCCCTGCATCATTTGAAGTACCCGAGAGTCTTGTTCACCCACATGGGGCTGACAGATGTAAGACTAGCGGGAGACCTCTTGTCTTTGAGAGGGTCAAGCTACCTACACCACTGTGTTACAGTATCACTTTTCCTTCCAGAAGAGTTTAGCATACAGCGCTTTAAAGTCACAGGAAGGATAAAGTAGCAACAAAAAGTTCATATGTAGGGTACAGGAGCTGGTGCTTATTATTCCTTAGGAAGACTGTATTATAATTAAAATTACCGCACAACTTTTGACAATTCATTTGAAGTATTTCTTAAAATAAATTTCTATTTCTACTGAACCTTTTCCAAAATTCTGATTTTTATTAATGAGATTTCTGCTGGCTGGGATGGAAATTAGATGTTGAAATTGAGGTATTTGTACCTGCAAATGAATCCTACCTTTAGTGTCTTCAAGCACAAACCGACGAGGGACATGAAACAGAATGTGTGGATAGAGTCAAGCTGAATGTTAGTTAAAAAAGCAGTACTAAGCTATTGCAAAGGAACAAGCTTCATTTTAGAATTTACTGACAGAAATTATTTATGTTTTGCATCATTGTTATTATTATTGCTTTCTGCTTTGTGCTGATGGTACCTCAGATGATATTTTGTGTTCACTTCTTGCTGTTGTGCTTTAGCAAGCATAAACTAGCTAAAAGTTAAGGAAAAAGAAGAAAAAAGTGTTTGAAAAATAAGCCAGATTATCATAATCTTTAGCTTTCTGAAGAAAGTAAATGCTCCTAACAGGAATGGGGGTGTTTGCCATTAGTATCCTTTTTTAAAATCATGTATTATATATGATTTATATAATTATATGTGATTGAACACCTCTCTTGAAAGTAGAATTAAATGAGAGATGTTTCCATTTCAGATTCAAATGATTATGCTGATATTATGTTAAGCATTCATATATAGACATTTTTGAAGAGGATACAGCAGTTGTAGATAAATAAAAACCTTTGTATGGGTTCTCAGTTCAGTGTGGTACAGTGTCTTGGTTAATGAATTACTGTTTGTCTCTCTTAAAAACAAGAATTTTATTAATTAGAAACACATGAAACAAAGTATTCCTCCTTTAGTTGCTTTACAATGTTTGTTTACAATGCAAAGGGAAAACCAGTATTTTCCAATTTGCTGACTGCACCTTGATCGTGAACAACTGAAAAACTGGTAGGTAGACCAGAATGAACTTCTCAGTCATGGTGAGGCTCCAATAGTATGATCTTGCAATTGGTTATTCATAGAATCATGGAATTATTTAGGTTGGAAAAGACCCTTAAGATCATAGAGTCCAACCATTAACCTAGCATTAGCAAGTCTGCCACTAAACTATGTCCCTCCTAAGTGCCACATCTACATGTTTTTCAAACACCTCCACGGATGGTGACTCAACCACTTCTCTGGGCAGCCTGTTCCTTCAATATTGGTGCTCCATAATTTTTGCTAATTCTTATTCCCTCATAATGTGTGTTTTTGGCCAGCTGCAACATAAGATGATACACTGGATGTAACTGAAGAGGAGAAAAAAAAAGAAAAAAGTTCACAAGGATATTAAATCAGGTTCTCTTGCTGTGTAGATTAGTAAGTATAACATTATGCATAACTGTCAGCAGAATTAAACGGAAAAAAAAAGGAGCATAAGGCTTTATGATTGAGAGGGTAAACTACCTAATTAATTGAAGTTTTAGGATTAATGATATATGGTATCATTTCTACGCTGTCTTAGGTAGAAGACTGTTTATCCATGAAATATCTATCGTAGTATTATTGTATACAATATTATTGTATTTAACCTAATATTATTGCGTACAATAATCTCATATTATTGTATACAATATGAATACAATTCTTTTGTCAGCACAATCAAAGTTTTTTGTTGTGGCAAGTCTGTTAGTGAATCCTGTTCAGGAAAATGTTATTTCCATTTATAAGATGAAAGCAGTTGTAAAAGCAGCTAGTGCTTCTATGATATTAATAACCAAGTATAATGCTGGCTAATATCAGCAACTACTATGGAAGTTAATTAGAAATTTGAAAGGCTGCCATAAAGAAGTAATATTTACCAAATATGAATTGTATAAAAGGTGATTATTTCAAAACCTGAATACTCTTTATCTCTAGCCATATCCACAAATATTTGACATAAAGGGTGTTTTGCTGTTTATTTATTAACCTTTTATATATTCTGAGGTAGAGAATACAATGCTAATGTAGTAAAATCTGTTGGAAAACTATCATTTATAGCTCCATCTCCTGAAATAACACTGATGTAAAAAGGAAACAGCTAATTCTGGCTTTTCCATTTACAGTAGGTAAAGTCAATTAATTAAAAAATTGAAAGAATTCAGAGTCTTCTGAATTGGGTGAAATAATTTTTTGCTACCTTACAGATGTTTTATCTGAAATCATATTAGACCATTCTAAACAATTTGTGTTGATAAGGAAAACTAAGTGCTGCCTGTTTACATGTAGTTAGTTTTGAAAGATTAAAGGAAGGCAGTCCAAGCTAAGAAACCATGCTGTATTCAGATGAACACTGTTCTGCCATCTCAGCACTCTCCCCTAATACTATCACAGTGGTTTCACTGTAAATACACTTACTGGTATAGAAACTCTAGGTCTGTTAAGAACTGAAACACGAAGATCCATGAGCTGGAGCTCTTCAGAGAAATGTTCATGCATCTTTCCTTCGGGCTGCAAAATTGCCAATTCCTAATGAAGTACATCTGCAGCAGAAAATGGATATTCATATTGCTAAATGAACAAATTTTCTCAGTGCATCAGATATAGCTTGTTATGAAGAGCCCTTTAGCTTCAGCGTTTTATGACATAAGCACCAAATTATTTGGAGCCCATACTGGTATGAAATTAGCTTAAAGCAATAACCGTTTTCCACTCTACCCTCCACTACCATCTCTTACTTTAGTATCACATTGCTGGTAACTCAACTAGTCTCAGGAAGCCCTTGCTATTATGCGCAACACCTGTCTTAATAACCAGTACTGAAGCTTAACAGTACAGAAACACCACAACATACTCCTGACCCAAAGGAGTGTTCTGTCAAAATTCAAGTCCTTTTCCAAAGTATTGTTGCATAGACATCTTGACTAGAATTTGGAAAGTTTTCCTTGATCTCATCTGATAATAATTTCCTCACAAATTGCAGTGGCTTAAAAACGTGAATTAGCGATCTGTTGGCTGTTATAGAAACTCCAAATAAAGCTATTAGAAACTTGTAAGGCAGAAAAGTTCTGTGGCAGTTTTGGCCTTCTGTATTTATCACATTCCTTATTTTTTAGAAGCCTGTATGTTGTATGTGAAGTTTAAGGGGTTTTGTTTCTTTGTGTTTAGGTTGATAATACTGAAGAAATCACCTTTGAAGCTTTGAAGAAAGCAATTGGTAAGATTTATTGCAATCGTGTTTATGCTGCATAGTTCGAGATTACTGTGGAATTCCTAGAGAAAAAGTTGTGACCAGAATAACATAATTAAAGTATTACATTTGTTTCTGTTCAGCTAGTAAATTTATTTAAAACTTTAGTTATTTATTTCTGAAATGATACCCTGGTAATTTTAGTGAATTCATTTTCTGAAGCTAATGTAACTGAATGAAAAGCATCTGGAAATGCCTGTCATTATTAAATTTGCCCTTATAGGCCAAGCTGTAAATAATGTGAGATTTTCCAAGTTCCATTGAGTGATTATTTATAAAGCAACTTAAATATTTTTTATGGATTAAGATTTTCAGGTCTTCAGTACATTCAGAAAATAGATTGTAAGGTACACATTGTGGACTTCAGAAACACTCAATTTTTTAAAAGAACATTTTTCTCGCAATGACCCAGCTACCAGAACTCAAAATTATCCAGTTTCCTTATTTCATGTCACTGTAAGTAATTGCTAATTAATGCTGTCTAGTCCACCAAAATCCTGTCCAAATTGTGGATTAGACATTGATGTTTTAAACAATACAACACTGACATTTTAAACAATAATTCAATCTGATAGTTTTCCAAACCTGCCTAATCACTGAGGTACTTAAATTCATTAGATGCTGGAAAGTTCCAGCTGGTTATAGGTTCACTCAGCCTATGGAGGTTGAACTTGCTTTTCCCAAATTCGAATAGAAAATTCTGCTGACCAGTCTGCGTGATACTGGGAGGGAGGAAACTCCCTTCTTTTCTCATGAAGCTGAACCTGTGTGCAGCAAGTGAGAAGTGCAGTCTTGAGTCCAGATAATAAAGCAAAAGGAAGCCTGGATGTACTCATAATGAAAGCACACAGTTAAGAAAGGGGCAAAGCTGGGGTCCTCAAACCAGCTCCCTAAAATTGTATCTGCATTTTGCTTTAGAAGCAATGACAGATGACAGCTCACTTGAATATGGATGCATCACTTAAAATACAGTGCTTGTTTGCTTCTGCAGTGCACATTTGAAAGTTTATATCACTTATACTTGATAGCCAAAGATTACATTTGTCTTTTTTTTTTTTTTTTTTTTAAGATAACAATGGGCTTGAAGAACAGGAAAAAGAAAAAAGGCGTCTTGTGATTGAAAAGTTCCAAAAAGCACCATTTGAAGAAATTGCAGCACAATGTGAAACCAAAGTGAGTTTCTGAAAAATGTTATACAGCATTGAAGATACTAGTATAAGCATTAATGGGGATATGTTGGCTAAAGATGATTTATGTTATCATGTCACTGCTGCTGTTACTTCTAAAGAAGTTCAGTTCTTTGTCTTCAGTTTTTTTCTCTACTATTATCAATGTTGGAAGATTCCAGCTATTTCAGGTGTGCTTTTGATTGTTCCTAGACCATTTGAAAAGCAATAGAAATCTCATACACTCTTCATCTTAATGTCTTCCTTGCTATCTTTGAAATCTAGATTCACAGTCCGTTCCTTTTTCATCCTGGGATAACTGGAGCAATATATACCCCATTATATATTTTGAATAACTAAATGTAATTCAGGTTCGTTAAACTCCTCACTGCAACAGCAAAATCTTCTATATAATTCCTTGCATTCCAAGGCAGGCCCACTTAATTTCACATGCCTTTTCAGGGGTCAGAATCCTTGCAGCAGTGAGAAAAGAAGTTGAGACAGGAAATGCTGCCTAGGTTTGCCATGTGGTGATGTGGAACACACTCACTGAGTATGGCCTAGCACATTCATTTTAGCTTGGTTCAATATATAGTAGTTAATAATTCAATTTTAATTTTTTTTCTGTAGGCAAACTTGCTTCATGATAGACTTGCACAGATACTGGAACTCACCATTCGGTAAGGCTTTATGCAAGAAGAATATAATGAATAAAAAATGAATTATAAAGCAATTGTGACTACTTTCAAATGGTCGTGTCATAGTATTCTTAAACACATGTAATAGACAGAAAATAATTGACTTAACTGAATGTTGTGATTTAAGCCTGGTAGGCATTTCAGCCCCACATAGCCACTGGCTTACTCCCCCTCAATGGAATGGGGAAGAGGATCAGAAGGGTAAAAGTGAGAAAACTCATGGGTTGAGATAAAGGCAGTTTAATAAGTAAAGCAAAAGCTGTGCACACAAGGAAAGCAAAACAAGGAATTCATTCACCACTTCCCATTGACAGGCAGGTGTTTAGCCATTTCCAGGAAAGCGGGGCTTCATCGTGCATAACAGTTACTTGGGAAGACAAATGCCATAACTCCAAACATCCCCCGCTTCCTACTTCTTCCCTTAAAACTATTATCGCTGAGCATGACGTCATATGGTTTGGAACATCCCTTTGGTCAGTTGGGGTCAGCTGTCCAGGCTGGGTCCCCTCCCAACTTCTTGTGCACTCCCAGCCTACTTGCTGGTGGGGTGGGGTGAGAAGCAGAAAAGGCCTTGAGGCTGTGTAAGCACTGCTCAGCAGTAGGAAACATCCCTATATTATCAACACTATTTTGGTCACAAATCCAAAACATAGCCCCATACAAGCTACTGCAAACAAAATTAACTCTATCCCAGCCAAAACCAGTACACTGAAAAAGAGTACTCATCTAAAACAGTGACTTTGATTTTCTTGTTAGTATTTTGAACCTTTTAGATAGTGGAGAATATCCAGAAACCATGTCATAGTGTACTTATTTCTGTGTATATCAGTACTATTGAAGAATTGTTCTCCCGTTGCTGTATCTGTTTTAGAAAGTTATTAGATATCGAACACCCAAAATAGTACATGACATTATTACAGAGAGTTGTGCACATCTGTTGTGTAGTGTAAATGGTATTGTTAGTAATAAAATGTGTTTTCATAGTTCCACAGGATCACTGAAGTTGATGATTTGGGCAAGAGTATGAAAAAAAAACCCAAGGCATGATAATTTCATTAGAATTTCAGGAATAGGATAAAATACTGATGATTGGGTGGGGGTAGTTTACTCTTGTTTCTCAGGTATTAGTGTATAAATTTATAAAAAAGAAAGCAATCCATATAATTATAAATTATATATATTGATTGTTCTTCTCACACAGTCCTCCACCTAGCCCCTCAGGAACGATGACCATTACTGCTGGACATGCTCATTACCAGTCTGTTCCAGTCTATGAGATGAAGTTTCCAGATCTTTGTGTGTATTAAGTGTCTTCTGAAGTCTGCTGGACATTATTTAGAGTAGAGTACAGTAGAAAGAACAAGATGAGTTTTCAAATTTTATTGTTTATTTCATCTAAGCTAACTTTAAAGTAAAGATGGACATGAGCCAAATACAGATTACTCTAGCCAAACTCATGAGACTGTCTTCAGTTGTTTTCTTCTGTAATATATCTGAAGTTAGGTTTTCCATATATCATGTTTTTTATTTTCATATTTGAGTACATGTAAAAGTCAGATTTAAAACTTGTCTTGCCATGTAGGTGAATATTTCTGTTACTCTAGGAATTTGTATTTCTGTAAATTCCTCTAATTTGAGGCAATATAACTGAAGAACCTGTTAAAGCTTTTTTCTTTTTTTTTTTTTTTTTTTGTTTGGTTGTTTTTTTTTCTCCTCTCCACCTCAATTATCTACCTAAATAGAATGCTTTTGGCTTGCTTCATCTTATTAGATGTAACCAGTGGAGCACTACCTTAGCTCCCTTTTGTTCATGCTTTGATAGCTAGTCAACTTGTTTATTTTGGAATATATGGAAAAAACCAATACCTTACATGTGTTCAAGTACAGTAAATGAATTAGTGGACACTTCTTAAGTATTTTTTTGATGCATCATATAACATGCTTTTTAGATACATACACCCAGTATATGTCCTGTGTTTCTTGCTAAAAGTTAACTGCTTTGCATAAGAGAGGAGAAATCTCCTGAAGCACTGAATTGTGCAATATTTTTCATGTCTTAAGGTCTACGGTTTACAGACTGTACTTTTGAAAATGCAGTAGTATTTTACTGTCTGCTTTAGTATAAATACACGAGAGATATATTTAGTATAGCAGAAAATAAACTGAGGGCATTTTAAATCATAAATACAGAAATTACAAATATATTCTATGAGGTATTTCTCTGTAGTTTATTACAGCTTTTTAATGATATTTTAGAAAATGAAAGAAAACTGGATCAAATCATTTAAAGACCAAGAATTTATTACTTATGTTTTCAAGCAAAAGCATTTTTAGAGATGCATCTCTGTGTTCGTTTTTGTTTCATTTCTCAAACCTTTCTAGAAATTAGGAAAATATGGTAACTTTCATAGGTTTATGTATCTGAGTATACTATTCAAATGTAAATAAAGTAAAACTGATACAGTAAATCATGACCTTTTGATGATAATTGTCAAGGCTGTCTTTATGACTCACTAAATTCTGCAGGCAAAAAGAAAAAACAGCCTTTGTTGATGCCATGAACAGTAAGGTTTAAGTCCCTTAATCTATCTGAATCTGACTGAAGCAGCACAAACATGAATGAATGTTCTCAAATATCTATAATAAATGTAAGACATTTAAGTTAGCCAGCAGTTTAGATAAACAGTGATCAGGCCATGAACAAAGTGATTAACTTCAGTTAGCCCTGCTTTGAGCAGGAGCTTGGTTTAGATGACCTTCAGAAGTCCCAACCTAAATTAATCTATGATTGCATAATTCCAAGATCTGAATGGTTATCAGACTAGCTAATTTTCTGGTTTGAGCATTTGCAAACCCACTGTAAAAAGGATTTCAAGTTTTTTGAACTGTAGTGCAGTATTCCACTGGACTACTTTTAAAAGCCTGATGTGACGTAACATCAGAGAAATATCAGCTACTTAAACCTATGAGATAACTTGCTGAGACTTTCAGAAAGCATTCACAAAACTCAAAAGGTAATTGAGACCTTTTTTTCAGTTTAACAGTGCAATCACAGCTGTTAGTGGATGACGAAACAGCCCCTTATCTACAGCATTCCTGCTGCAGCGTATCAGCCTGATCAGACCACAGTCTACACATAAATAGGACTCTAGCTTTTAGTTTTCACTTTTTGATTTTTTTAAGGTAAGACATAATAGTTTTTGGGCCTATATAAAGAGTGTAATTTTTTAAATAGTAAATCTAACCTAGGGATACAATGTAAAACACTTATCCACTCTGTCATTTTTTAAGAATAACACTCTGCACTTTTGTACAGAAAGAAAATAAGGAGTCTAAGAAATAAAGAATGTATTTCTGTTTGCACTCTTGCAGTATGGAGACTGTGCTGTAAATACAGGATTGTTTCTGTGATTGAATTCTGTTGCATGAATGCTGCATGTGAAAATAACTAGATTCAGCATTTCATTTTCTGTTCTGTTTATGAAGTATTTTTCATTTATGCTAATGGCAGGTTTCCATGTTTGCAATCTTCAAATGAGCTTTGTTTGGGAAATGCAGGTGTTGTGCAGGTATTGTGCAGGGAATGAAGAGCTTGTAACACTCTGTGTTCACATGATACTTAATTTCTTCCTTTTTGGAAATTCAGGGAGTCTGTAAGTTGATAATTGGTTCACTCTGGCCTTTCTAGACAGCTGGGAGATGGGAGTGACTGTAAAATGTATTGTTTTGGTAGCTATTGTTATGTATAGCTAATGAATGAAACCAAATGAATTCAGAATGCTGTTGTACAGTGTAAAGCTGCTTTGTTTCACTTACCTCTTTATGTTCTTGAGACAAGTTGCAGAACTTAAAAGCTCCATATGCATCTGGCCCTGTGCTATCTGCAACACATTGAGTACTGTCACAATGTTTATAACTTGGTATCCAGCTGTTTATATGTATTCCAGCTTTTGCTTTGGGTTCTCTTTCCCATTATGTCATTTTGAAAAATTACAGCTTTTGGTAGTGGGTCACTTTAAACTAAATTAAATCCTTGTTAATTTTAAAAGATAGAAATAGCCTGTTGTCCAAAATCAGAGTAGGGCTACTTTGTCTGTTGTTCTGATGGTCATATATTATGTACTGTACGTAATGAACCAGTTTCAATAAATGTAAGAATACACTGTGCAATCTACATTTAAGCAATAAAATAAACCAAAATTTAAAATTAATCTTTTCTAAGGTGTCAGTTAATTTTTACTGCTCACAATTAAAATGTCAATGACATAATTTTTTGGCATGTAAAACAGAAATCATTTTACACACCTTTTTTTTTTTTTTTTTTCAAATGTGATACCATTATTAAACTACTACTTTTATTTATGTTTAAACAGATTAAACCATTCCTATTACTAAGACCACCAAAGTCCGAGAATGCAACAATGCAAATATCATTTCCTAATAGAAAATAAGCTTCAAGAAGATAAATAAGCTATGCTTTTCAGGCTTGCCTCCCTGGTTAGGAAACATATTGGATTTGTAGTATCAATTTCAAGGAATAAAATTATCAGTGTGTGTGAAGATCTGTATACAGCTCACCCACAGGTCATGTCTTTCAAACAGTGATTCTATCTAATGGGGCTGAGTATTATACTGTTGTTTGTTACTCTCTTTTTTTGGTAGCATTCATTTATTTAAATAGTTTTAATAGTGCACCCTGAAAGAAGTAGGAAGAACAATTCTTTTTTCTATTTTAAGGAAGTTGGGACATTCTCTAGCTCACATGAGAAATATCCTAACATATAGAGTATTATATTGTCATCTTTTTTTCCCTTGCTCCTCTGTTCCTAATTTTTGCAGAAATTAATTAAAACTTTGTGTATATTTAAGAAATTTTAGAGAGTGGGTGTCTTCTTTCTCTAATCTGGTTTTAAGTTTTTTATGAAATCATATTCCCAAATCTTTAATACTTTATCAGTTTACAGCCAAAGAATAAGTGCTTAAAAAGTTAAAGTAAGTAAAACAGTATCTAATGAAGTAGGAAATCTTTTTAGATTAGTAATGAACAGATTAGTTGTTCACTTTGGGGAAACAGCTAGGTTTTGGCCAGCTATGCCCCAAATCTTTGAAAAATGTAGTGTAGAGCTACTGTGAGAATGAGAGAAGAAAGAAAACTCTGTGCTAAATGTCTCATCTTGTTCTGCTTATCATTTTTTTATTATTTTAGCACTGATCTCTAAGAATGAATAAATATGGCCAATCATAGCTACATTATTTAAGACTTCTCTTTATCAACACAATTCATGTGGTAGCAATTACTCTACGGAACAGCTTTGGTGTTAAATTCTTCCTGAAATAAGAGATACTGGAAAAAAGCCTGAAGGAAGTAATGGCAACATTGCCTGAATAATAGCATATTTATTTTGTAATTTCTCTGTTACTTGATTTTCTGCAATCAGAAAATTCAGCATCTCTGAGTGAACATATGCATGTGTTATTTGCATAACCATGAATATAATACAGTTTCTAATAATTAGGAGAAACGGATGGGTTTTTATCTAAAGCATGTATTTTAAATGCAGGCTTCAGAGCAGCAGCACTGCTATCGTCAGTCAGAGAAATGAGCTTGTCTTACCATTAAGCAGCAATGTACTTAATTCACTTGTTTAAAGGCCGGGTTTTCTCACTTCAGCTAATTAGCTATCTGACCTTTTCATTATCATTTTTATTTATAAATGTTGTGAGATATGAAATAGCTTTTCATCACTATGATAAAACGCTGATGAAAGTTCCAATTCTGAAACAAGTAAACATACCAGCGTAATGCAGATCTCGTCCTCAGCACTGGACAAAAATGGGTATTTTGCAGAGTTTTAGCATTTTGCTTAAGTACTGAAATGCCGTCTTTCCATACACCATAATGGGGGGGGTGGTAAAGTTAATTAAAATCTTGTCTGCAGATAAGATTGCCATGGCTTTCCAAATATCATGGAGAGCGGCTTGGTAACTACATCAGCCAATTCCTTCTGGACTCTGGGATGCATCACGTCAGGTCCCACAGAATTCTGTATATTCAGGTTCCTCAGGTGGTGACAAACCTGATCTTCTCTTACAGTGGGAGGGACTTTTCTCCCCCAGTCCCTGCCTTGTGGTCCATCTACTCAAGAGGTGTGGAAAGAGAGGTTGCCAGTGAATATTGAGGCAAAAAAAGCTGTCAAGTACCTCAGCCTTCTCCTCATCCCTTCTTACTGGTTTGCCAGTCTTGCTCATCAGAGCAGGTACCCTTTCTTTGACCTTCTTTTCCTGCCTACATACCTGTCAAAGCCCTTCTTATTATTCTTTGCATCCCCTGCCAAGTTCTGCTCCAGCTGCACCTTGGCCTTCCTGACACCATCCCTACAGAACCAGGCAGCGTCCCTCCGCTCTTCCCAGGAGACCTGTCCCTGCTTCCACTGCCTG